AGTCTTCAGAGATAGTACCAAGGACAAGGAACTCTTATCAAGGTCTGGGCTTTGAGCCAAGTCTCTTTTTGGGAAATAACAAATTACCATACCAAGCTTCACCACAAGATGTCACTGGTGCCATTTAAGGATTTTTTTAAGTCCTGAATTTTTCTAATTCTTTTTCCAATTATATTTCTTTTTTGTAGATAAAAACAAGAGTTTCCACTAAAAACAGGAAACTTTTTGGTCCCCAAGTTTCAGAAACATATAAATCCACTTAGATTAAAGTTGTTCTTTTTAATGCTTTGATTCCCCTGGGTAATCAGACGCCGCTATTCTTAGAGGGTAGGGTAGAAATTCCCTTCCCTCTCTCTTCACAGGGGGAAGATACTTCAAAGAGCTTTACAGGAAGAAGGTACTTAGGGTAAAGAGAAGATAAGATCTCACACAGTTTCATCTGCAGTTGCTTTCAAAGTGCTTGGTAGTAAATTTGACTTCAGCTGTCGGCAGCTTAGTGACAAGCCATATTACTATGGCTGGTCTTTTCCCCGTCAGTTTGAAGAGCTGCCCCGGATCAAGAGGAAGGGCTGCCACCCTTCTGTGATCAGCAGGGGTCCTCTCCTTGCTCATCATCCCTACAGGGCGACTTTCAACCCTTTCCAGGATCCCCAAGCGGGATAAAACCAGACGCTGGAGACGAGGCTCGCTTCCATGCGTCTGCCCAGGCTGCGATGGCAAACCAGAAGCCTCAAGTGTCTGAATTTTGATCATGTAACCATGGGGATGCTACAATGGTTGTAAGTGTGAAAAACAATCATACGTCACTTTTTTCAGTGCCATTGTAACTTTGAATGGTCACTAAATGAACTGTTGTAAGTCAAGGACTACCTGTACTATCAGATGGCATCTCAGCATGGAAGCCTTTACACCAAGAAGTTCATGTGCACTAGATTTAGCTTGTCATCATCAATTTCTCTATCTTTTCTGCTCTCTCTTCTTCATATTTGTTATCCAGGTAGCTGCTCTGAGCTAGATACCAGATATTAGTCCAGAACCTCCTCATTTACTTCAGCGATTGATCCATTGTTTTGATAGAAACTAGTTTATTGTTAGATATAGCTTTATCCTGACCTGAATTCAACATTGCCTAATTTCTCTTATTTATGGGCTGTTTTTTTTTAATTATAAGGCCAGCAGAAAACAGAAATTTAAAGACGGAGATGATCAAAAGGTGATGTAGATGAATTAATATCATTTTTATCTTTTAAGTAGTGGATATGGAATTAATATCATTTTTATCTTTTAAGTAGTGGATATGGAAGAAAGTGAATGCTGTTAAAAGCTGTTGGTGGCATTCTGATTCTGCAGTGTATAATTACCACTTATTTTAGTATGATTTAATAATAATACTTATAGCAATAATAATTACTACTTCTATAATATTTTGGAATATTCTGAAGACTTTGGTACATTATTTTATTGTAATCCTTACAATAGCCCGGAAAGAAGATTGTAAATATTATATATTACAAATGAGTCCTCCTAAGTACTTACTTCTCACATTAGATATGAAAATGAATTGGGGATTTCTTGGTAAATATTTTAATTTCTTATCTCAATACTGCACAAGTTCTCCTAAACATATTTTTCTCTGAATTATACCTATTAAACTTTGAGAAGATGAGGAAAAAAAATCTCGGTTTGGGTATACGCTATGCATAAATTCACTCATGCCTATTCTATTTTTTTTTTAAAAAAAGAACTTGAAACTTTATTTCAAACTGTCCTAATTCTGCAAGTCTGCAGGAATATCCTTAGATAGCTATATATTCCAGGGTTAAAGATAAAACATATATTTTTATGATGCACTTTAAAACTGGCACATTTGTAGTCATTTAGATAATTGTGTTGCTTCTTAAATTGTCCTTGAAGTGCCAAAAAGACCTCTAACAGTGCTGATTAGACTGAATTTAATTTCCCTGATTTAGACATTAAATAGGAACTGCAATTAACCATCACCGACTATCTTTTGGAAGTATATTTTTAGAATGAGCATGTACTTTAGCTGCATTAAGGCATTATTCAGTGTTTAGTGCTACTTGAAACTTACTGAAGGATCTAGCTAAATACTGCAATTATATCCCTTGATTTATCTAGAAAAGGCCATTCTCTTTGGGCTCTGGCTCACGTTCATATCTGCTGGCTGGGGAGAATTGTAAGCCACAACTTCCGAAAAGGGTTCAAATATGTTTCTTTTCATTTTCAGTCAACATTTTCCATGTATAATGCTTTTGCAGAGGAAATAGACCCTAAGCAAATATATCAGACTTAACATAATACAGGTAGTCCTTGACTTTTGACCCCAATGGATCCCAACATTTCTGTTGATAAGTGAGACATTTGTTAAGTGAGTTTTGCCCTATTTTACAACATTTCCTGTCACATTTGTTAAGTACAGTTGTTAAGTTAGTAACACGGCATCAACGCTGCTAACATCGGATGTTCTTGCTTTGACAACATATGGAGACAACATGTCGGAACCACGAGACACGGTTGTTAAGTGAATCTGGCTTCTCCATTGACTTTGCTTGTCAGAAGGTCACAAAAGGTGATCATGTGATCCCAGGACAGTGTGACCGTCATAGATATGAGTCAGTTGCCAAGTGTTTGAATTTTGATCACGTGACCAGGGGGATGCTGCAATGGTTGTAAGTCTGAAAAGCAGTCGTTTTTTCAGTGCCATTGTAACTTCAAACAGACACTAAACAAACTGTTGTAAGTCAAGGACTATCTGTACCAATGTCTAAAAAACATTCGCTCTACACCTCTTCATTTCACCATTTTAATCTTTTTAAAGAACTCCAGGCTGGCTTAAAGCCATGAATTTAGTGTGAGGTCTTTCACATGAGCAAAGAATGAAATAATGCAGGAATAAGTTCACTTTGAATACACAGAAAATATTTTGAATGATTTCATAACGTGGCTGCCATGATAGGTGATAAACTACAAAGTAGTCATTAAGCAGAAAATCACAAGCTGGTGTGATTACTGCTGATTGTGTCCTGCATTGCATCCAACGGGATGCTTTCTGGTACCCTAATGTATTTTTTTATCCTTTTCTGAGCAGATGAGTTTCCAAAGCTACTGTACTGCAGCCACTTATCACTCTGAGGTCTTAAAAATGTCAGTGTGGCCAATGTGAGGTTTCTCAGGTATAAAAATGATGGCCTCTGCTGCTTTGCTTTGTCATACACCAGCTTCCCATTTTTAAAAATGAAAAACTAAAGAAACTCAAAGGCAGTCCGTAAATGTCTCTTTTGGCATTGACAGACTTTTTACTGTCTGTCTGCCAGTGCCAAAAGAAACATTTATGGTCCATTGTTGCTCAGGAACATTAAGTTGCCTACATATATGCATTTATCTACACTTCTAAATTGTTCTTCCTTTAAGAAAATTAGTTTGGGCTGCCTAATTATCTTCAACCAAAGTTCTGGCATACAGTTCTGACTATTTTCATTCATGAAGTCAGCCAGAGAAAGCCTAAGCTGAGGTGTTCTGGACTTCCTATGAAAGTGGACATATCTAAATCAGTCCTCAGTCAAATAATTATTGCAACAGTGCTAGAAAAACAACTGTTGGGCTTTTTTTTTTAACCCTTCAGTATATTTCTAGCAGCTTTAGACAAGATACTTATATCAAATATTGTCAACTCATATCTGAAAGGAAGAGCTGCTTTCAAAATAAGAACTAACACGAAGGGAAGGTCAGTTGCTTGAATGAGGTTATTTTAATTTTGTTCTGCTTTTTTAATGATGAAACGTGGGAAATTTCAGGTAAGTAAGAGTGTCATGGTTCCGACTAATGAAACACTTCAAAGAACTTCCAGGCAAGGTTTACCCTAAAAGCCTTTATTATCAGTGTAACAGATTGACGGCACTTCATGTATGGTTTATGCCAGAATCTGAATTCCCCTTGTTTGCGTCTAACTTTTCTTGCTAAACCCCTCCCTTATTTTGCAGTCATAAGTCACATCTTCCAATTAGCCCGGAGGGCAAAGATTCACTTCCGTTCCTTTTCCTGGGCTTTCCTTATAAGTGTCCTCCCATTCTCTGTCATCTGAATTAACTCTAAAAATACCAGACAGTTCTGTATATTTTTTCAAAGCAATAATATCCTATACTAACAGCGTTGACAAAGAGTAGAAATAGAAAACTTGAAGTATTTTTCTCCTTAGAATAGGCCTGACAGATATCACCTAGGGTGCTATCTGCATTTCAGAAAAAGCCTGAAGCGCTCTAATTTTAATTTGAGATGTAATTAATCAGTTTTAGAAACTTATTTTTAGTTAGAGTGACAAAGAGAGGATTTTTCCCCTACCCATTACCATTTGATATCCCTTCTCAGTTCATATTAATTTGTACCTAGCTTCCTTTTTTCAGTTTTTCAAGTGCTCCTGTCATTAGATTTTGAAGGTTTATCCATACTATTGGTCTCAAGGTGTGACTCTGCCTGGTAAAGATACGTGTTTCAAATTCTCAATTCTTTTGACATATTTACTATAAGTGCCATTGCTGTTAATGTTTTCCACTTCTAAATTAAATATTTCTTCCTGAAGACAGGGGAGCTATTGTTATAATGTGATTTCTGGATTCTATCAGTGGTAGACTGCCTTTTGATAACTTATTGTCCTTTTCTTGGATGTGTTGCTTAATGAACACCACAGTATTTGGTCCCGTACTATGAGCATCCAAGGAAAGCAAACCAGGGATAATTAAATTCCTTTTTAAATTGTTCTTTTCAAAATAAACTAGTGCCTAAAAATCTCCACTCACAAATTAGCCCTTTAGGACATGTCAGGAATGTAGCTAACAAACAGTTGCAATGAATATTAAGTTAATGTGACTTCAGGGGGTGGTTGCTTAACGTGAGGCACGATACCTTTCTCCAGATAAGACCAAATCAGTTTTGTCTGTGTTCTATTGGCAATTAGCATTCTGATGAGTTTTTAATGTTCCCAGATATCCGTGGAATACAAGAGTTTTTGGACAAAGTATCTCAGCAGGGAATGGATGTAGCACTTCAGAAAGTGGAGAACAACATCAATAAAATGATCACAGGACTCTTCACCACCATGCGGATTGAAGAACTCAACCGCTATCGGGACACGCTGAGACGGGCCATTTTGGTAATGAACCCATCGACAGCCAAGTCGTTCATTGCTGAGGTGAGTGAAGGCACCAGCTGACACTTAAAATTCAGCTCCCTTTGAAACTTCTGACAAAACAAAAGTTGATTTTTGTGGCTGAAAATAAATTATTATTATTATTATTTGAACAATATATGTATGAGAGTATGTATGCATTAATCTGCCCAAATGTTTGAACCTCAAAATCAACAATCAGTTGGCCAATGCTGTACAGAGATTATGGGTCTCAAAATCCTAACACATTCTAGAGAGGAACAAATATATATCATTTATTCCAAAGGTGCTTTTTCAGGAGGCAAAGCACCTTTGGGGCAATCATACCTGGATGACTGAGAATCTCCATAGACATATATCATTTATTATTTATAAAATAAAAATGGTTCTTGAACTAAAACATTATGAACATGCAATTTGAAATTTTGTCTTATTAACATTATTGTTCATTAATTATTTTCCTGTACAATTTATTCCATTGTTTACTTTCATATAGCAAATTATTAAAAACACAGGTGTTCATGCCTAATTACAGTGATGCCAAAATGAGGAAATATGTGCCATGACATCACAATGCAAATTCTACCTTTTCATCCTTATGTTGCAGTATTGGTATCATAACACACTTGCTTCCCTTGCCCCTTCTGTGATGTGTTAATTGGAAACTACTTTTTCCATTAAAATATCCATTAATTTAATAAAAATTGAGAGCAAAAATCAGCAAACTTTTAAGTAGAAGGAAAATATTCATAATTTGCCCATACCGACTACCAGTGGGATTTTGTAACCGACAGCTAACCACAATGACACTGGAAATAATGCTAGAACAAGGCACAAATGGCTTTTTTGAAATTCTCCCTTAAATTTGTGGGCAAAATAAAATAAAACTCAAAATGGTGGGTGTTATATCTTTAGTTCTTTAGGCATTGAATGAGGCAAAGTGTTGAAACAGCAAACAAGTTTATTAACTCAGAACAGAAGCAGCCCTAAAGGCTGCTGCACAGCTATTTATACAGTTAGCCTCTAGGTGGCAACCAATAGGTTTAAAGTAACAGTTTTCCGCCCTCAACCTCATTATCAGCTTGGAGACAGCCAGTCTGGCTTTCAGTAACAGCAACTGTTAAACCAGTGGTTCTCAACCTGTGGGTCGGGACCCCATTTGGGGTCGATCGACCATTTCACGGGGGTCGCCAAGCAAGGCTGTCCGCCATTTTTTTTGTCCGTCATTTTTTTCCCCTTTTCCAGCGGGTGCCTTACCTCCCTTGGGCTGGGCCAGCTTGTGGTCGGCCTGCTCCGTCTCTGCCGCTTGCCAGCTACGCCTCGGCCGGCGCAGGGGGCGGAACCACGCATGCGTGGCGCTCCCGGGCAGGGAAAGTCCTCGACTTACGAACGGTTGGGTAGTCCTCGACTTACGACTGGTTTAGTCCTCGACTTACGACCGGTTTAGTCCTTGACTTATGACCGGTTTAGTCCTCGACTTACGACCGGTTGGGGTCGCGGCATTAAAAAGGTTGAGAACCACTGTGTTAAACAATACAGCAATGTAGGTCAGACATTAAGCAAGTGATTTAAAACAGTTGTGGCCAATACATTACAGTGGGCTCTCTAGGAGAAGAGCATTCTTCAACGATTTCCCAAAGGCATTTTTTCTTTTTCTTTCTTTTCCTTTTCTATTTTCTTTCTTCACTATAGCTCCTTATTTTGTTTTCTAACATTTCTATTGCTTTTCTCTTGTTATTTTTTTTCAAATTAAATTATAATAAGAAAAATTATGGACTTTTTGCTGAAAAAAATGGACTTGTGATTTATGGATTTGATGGTTAGAAAGATTGGCTTATGGAAGAAAGAAATTATGATGTAAATTTGGAAGGAGAGGGGAAAATATAAATGCATTTATAACAACCGATGTCAAAAAGATCAGAAGCCGCTTCCTTTATAACGTTTCTTTTTTTAAATTACCGTAGCTTTCTTAGTATTCCTTCTTATTTTCTTTCAAAATATAAATTGCTTTCATGTGGTTAAAAATTATTTTAATAAAAAAATATATTTAAAATACAGCAATTACTCAGATTGCCAGCATTTCTGTAAGTAAAGATACTCAGTAATAAAAGAAGAATTAATAGCTCCACCAGTGTATACTGAATGAGCCCTGGTGGCGCAATGGTCAGAATGGAGTATTGCAGGCAACTCTGCCCACCATCTGGAGTTCGATCATGACCAGGTTCAAGGTTGACTCAGCCTTCCATCCTTCCGAGATCAGTAAAATGAGGACACAGATTGTAAACTGCCCAGAGAGTGCTGCAAATATATATCAAAGTGCTATTGCTATATTCAAGTTAAGTCTAAGTGCTATTCCTAAATTCTAAGTGTATTGCCATATTCAAATATCACTTTACTGCAAGATCTAATAGCAAGTGCCTAGTGCTGACAGCTGACTTCAACTAAGATGCAAGCACTTTCCCAGCTATGTTTTTATTGTTCCTGGACTTGTACTGGTCAGTTCTTAATATTTATTAATTGTGAAGCTATTGCAACACAACTATTAATGGGGTAGCAAACTATTTTGTTTAGCTTAGTAACCATCATGACTAAAGCAATCAATGATGGAGGAGAGGGGAATCATTCTTGTACTGATCCTTGAAAGGGTGAGCATATTCTGTTGAATATACTGATGTCTTTAAATCCATCCATTTAATATTGATACTTATGAATGAATAATCATAGATATATTCACAGATAATCATGTTTTATTCTTTCATGGCACCACCTTGTTTAAGGTGTTTAAACAGTGACTGTCTATATTGTGTTTATATGAATAACATCTATTAACACTGATTCTATCAAATTACCTTTTGTCTCAGGCATTGCATATATTATAAAAGACTAAAGTAGGACATTGAAATCATATATAACCATGTTGGGCATAGCCTCTATTAACAAAACATAAATTTCAAAGCTTTCTTTCTGTATTCTTTTCACCTCTTAAACTTGCAAAACTAAAATATTTATTGTTTTTCTTATTATGCATTCGGTATTTTTATATTAAAGAATTTTAATGAGATCCCTTTCAACCTCCAGATATGAACAGCTATTTAATAAATAAAGTTGTAAATATTCAGTTTAATTGCACAAAAGAATCTTACCCGATTCATTTGAAATTATGGGAAGGGGGTGCATGTATTTGTACTTATTTGAAGAACATAATGTATGTGCATACATTAATAACAATTTAAACTGCTTTGTAGGATTACAGTATTTACATTTTCAGTTCTACTTGACATATTTCATGTAGTTAGAATAACAAATTGCCTACACAGAATATTCAACATATATAATGAAATGTAAACCACATTTATAACATTCCATATTTAAAACAATGAATTTGGATCACTATTATTTATTTAGATACTTCTACCATCACATAGTAAAGAAATATTAGAATGTCTGTATTTTTATTCCTTTCACAACAATTATTTTTAATTTAGCTTTTTACCCAAAAAAATTTTCCTGTATATGTTGCAAGTACTCTTAGATCTGTTTATAACGCTTTTTGCAAGTGATTAGCTCAAATCTATAATATCAGAATCTGTATTTCTTTCATTTCACAAAGCTGTCTGCTGTCTTTTATCTATCTATCTATCTGTCTGTCTGTCTGTCTGTCTATCTATCTATCATAAAATTCCATAATTTTATGTTTAAAATACCTTGTTCTATGTTTTGATTCAGTTTTGATCTTTCTTAGTAGAATGGTCCATGTTAAATGGAATGTACTTTCTAACAATTTACAAGGACATTGTTGTGTGTTTAGTTCTTGGTAGCTATTTTTTATCAGGTGATTCATGGGATTGATTCTTAAGCATTTCAGGAGCTATCTTTCATGATATAAAAGATTGGAATACACCCATCTATGTCCAGAGAGGCTTTGTGATACCACTTGCAGCTGTTCCCCTAATAATTGATCTGTAGTCAAATCCACCCACCCTTTCAATAGCTAAATCAGATGCATTGGCATGGTAGGGGGAGGCAAATGGCAAAAACAGTGTTGTACTGTTGTGTCACAAGTTGCATATAAGTATTCCACCCCTTACCACCCCCACCCCAATAACATTATACCAGAAGGACATGATCATTCCAGTGTATTTCTAGATTCACTAGTATATAGTTCTGTGAGACTCAAGTGCTGATCTTTCCTATCAACATCTTGATGAGAGATAAGATGAACTATTAAAGTTTCATCTTTCCAGTCCTTGAGAACCAGTAGAATAACTCATTCAAATTATCTCCAGCTGAGTTAATATCATAATAGAGATTAGCAATGTTATTCTTTTGAATTTCTGCAATATTACAGATTAAGTATAGAGAAAAATTAGAATAAATCAGAGCATGCTCCAACACTGGAACTTTTTTTCATTTCTTTCCAAAGTTTGGTGCTGAAACAATACTGCTTTTTGTTCATTTGCTTGCTTGCTTGTGCCGAAATCTATTGCAACAATTCAGATCAGCAAATTGATTTTGCAATTCAGTTTGAAGGAAGGGATTTGATCAAATTCCCTTTAAATCAAAACTTCATTCAGTCCTATGACATTGCTGTTCTACTGAGAGCACTTCTACAGGGTGCCAGCTTTGGTAATATTGTAATACATATCTACCAGAGAATGTCTTATTGAATTCAAGGTCAAAAGTTCAGGTTTCTGAGTTTTAAAAAGGAAGCTAGGAGCAAAGAGCAGGGCTCGGTTACTCTCAATTATTTTGGATTCAGGTGTTGTATTCTAACTATATTAAATAGTCTTTTTAATCTGAAATAATTTCCATTGTTTATAATAATAAAGAGTAATTGGAAGATGCTAGACTAGTGAGAGAAAAAAAACAAAAGTACATTATTATACCGGTATATTTCTGTGTACCTGGCTAGCCACCTTCTGTAGATTTGCAATTGAATTCCTATAGTGTTCATTTGAGTTGCAGGTTTTTTTATCAAGAAAATTGATAATCTTCCCTAAATTAGTGGACAGTAGCTTTAAATT